CATCACAAAATATGGATTTGTTTCCTCTGATGGTGGAAAATGACTGGTGTTGTAAGAAAACCATAATGTGAGAATGGATTTCAATGTAAAATAGTTTATGGCTTGTTTTCAACATGTATATTTGAAACATCAGGACTCTTCTGGGGAGCCTGTATGTGGTTATTAGGACAGGAAATCATGAGTATAGTTACTTAGCAACAGAATGTAGATGTGGGGAGGCTGCAGCTGTGAGGTGAATGTGTTTTATGATAAGTTGCATCTGACACTGACACATTATAAAGTGAAGAGGAAAATGTAAATGCGCTGCTATTTTTTTATTATGCCTATGAAAACATAATGTTATAAAAAAGAAAATAGTTTTGCGTTATAAAGATAAATGAATCTATAGCTATTGGAGAGGCTGAATCTCAAACAAACATGACCAGAATGGACACATCTAACATTCAGATTTGAAGTGGGCCAGACATTTTTTAAACAATTTTTGGGGTTGATGGTTTGCATCCAAGCCTTGTTTCAACCACAGAAAAACCACATTTGGAGCATGTTAATTAGCAACAAAAATATAGTTCGTTTTTTAACAATTGATCCAAATTTGGTAGAGTAAATACAGAAAAAAAAAACGGAAAAACTTAAAAAAACAACTTTCAAAGTGTCATGAGTCATGTGGATATGATACAGATGTTTAATATAGGAAAGAGGAAGTGACAACATACCTAATACATTAATGAATACATTTCATTTCCTGTGAGAAAAACTTCCTGAAATTTGTCTGAAATTGGACAAATTTACTGCTGCTTTCCAAAGCATTTGATTCTTAAAGCATCATTGTCAGCCCCCGAGGTTAAACATCTTAAACATTGTCCGTGTTTTGGTTGATGATTTGGTGCTTGTGAAGAGGAGGAACCCCTTCATCCATATCAAAATGTGAAGTCTCCAATAGAAATGAGAAGAATCTAATAAAGGTAATGTCCCAATGATTTGTAGTATAGTCGTCATAAGTGTTGTTTCCTCATAACTTTATTGGAATGACATCACCAATTTTCTCACACACAAAAAAAGCCAAAAAAGGAAAATTTCTAGATCAGAGGAAACTGCTTTCGTCAACACATTCTAAAGCCATACATTACACGTCATTAAGAAATTTATTCAGAGTTTACTCAGTGGTTTATTTACTCAATAGCCCCACATTTTCCCAAATCAGTCTCCACATATACTACGAAAATCACTTTAGATACAAAGAATTCATATTCTAAACCTGACTAATGCGAGCCATTGTGATTTAAGAGCAACCAGAAGTAGAGGATAATCTTATACAGTTTAAAAGCACAACATGGAGGTGAGGGACTATGACTGGAATGATGATAATATGAATCATAGCTGTTACTTTCTATTTAACTTTCTTTAACAACTTTATGTCCATGAATAGACATGGAAAAAAATATATTTTAATAGTAAATAGATCATCAATGAGGCTAGAGTTTTTTTCACCATTTTTTTAAAGTCTTTGATTAAAAAATGTAATCAACCACAAAAAACTGCTGTTACTGCCTTGTCAAGATTGTAGATTGTTTCCGTGTTTGGGAATCAGTATAGACATTCTCTAAATCTGCAGTACAGAAGACCTTCTGAAAATCAAACCTGAAACTTACTTTAGCACACAGTGTTCTACCGTTGTTCTGCTAAGAGTGTTCCCCGGTGGTACCCATTTTATGGGTACATATGGGTATCAAATGGGTAAATAATCTTTAAAGTAAAGAGTAAAGAGTTTTTCGACAGCTCTCATTTTTATTTTGCCATTTTTTTTGTAAATAAACAACATTAAATTTATGTTAAATGATTTTTATAATGAATTTACTTGATATTATTGCATACTGTATTGTTTGGACTGTTGTTTCCATTTGAAATCCAAAGGCTGTTAGTCACATCTGAGCTTTCATGATGCCCAGAATAATCAGGAAACAGCCAATCAGGTGCGCCTCATCGTCAGAAAAATATGCATTAGATCAGAATGATCTCAAATCTTAGTAGTTTTGCATGATCTGATCAAGTAAACACAAAGAAAATTTATGTCCCTGCTATTTTTCTGCCAAAACTAACTACAGTCAAATAGTTTGAGTCCTATTCATTACTTTCTTCGTTCCTTCATTGATTTTCTTTGTCCACTTCTTCCTTTTTGAGTCACAAGATTCTGCTAGTACCAGTCTCCAGCACACTATGGGGGTACACCCTGAACAAGTCACCAGTCCATTGCAGGTAACGCATACATTCACTCCTAAGGGAAATATTGAGTATTTAACCTGACACATGCTTTTTGTTTTGTAGGGGAAACTGGAGACTGAAACCCACTCAAGCACTGTGAGAACATGCAAACTCTTAGTAAACCAGCTGATCTGAAACATCACAATCCGACCAATTATGCCACCAAGCCCGTTAAAAAGTTAATGAACTTTGAAACAAAGGTGGAGCTGTACCTACCCTGCTTATTTGTGATAAGTCAGAGGTACTGATTACTCACACCAAGTTTGGTTCCAATTTGTCAAATGGTTGCAGAGATACAGACCTTGAGCTTTTCTAAACCTTTCAGAATGAAAAATTTAAATGACTTAATTTGTAGAAATAGTGAGGAAATATCGAGAAAGAAACTGAAAGACGTTTGCAACCCAACCCTTCTTACTCTGACCATTTCTGGATACTCTTACAGAAATAAACCCCTCGGAACCTCTCACCACATAAAGTCAAATGCTCACTTCCTCCAGAAGCACCAGTCCAACCTTAAACGACTTTCCTGTAGCCAGGACCCTGGCATTAATAATGACACAGTATCACCAGAAGAAACAAATGAAGCCATTGCCAGCAGCAGATGGTGAAGTTCAACAAATGCACTTATTTGTCTCAGAATAGCACTCTTTGTGATATAGCACCATGATAAATTTCCCAGAGTTCCCTACTTTGAGGTTCCTTTACAGTTTCTTCAATCAAATCCAGAGACAGTTCCATCAGATGTGAAAAATTCACACACACAAATTAAACAAATATCTAGATTTAAACTGAGTGACTGTAAAGTTTGTAGAAAATTTAAACAGGTGCCTTTTACCATGTTTTTGTTGTTTCTCCTCCTTTTGTGGTTCTTTTTCTGAATATTATGGCAGTCCTCAACACTTTGCCATTATCAGCAGACTCTACGGCACAAGAGCAGAAGTTTTAGTGAGGGGAAGCAGACTGTGACAAGCGTCGAGCACAGATCACTTCCTCAACTCCCACCAGCCTTAGGTGAGACAAGAAGAAGTTACAAACCTCTCTTGCCTCATACGCCTACAAACTGGACTTACTGTAGTCTCTCATGGTTGTTTAAAACCACAGAGGTGCTGCTGGTTCAAGGGCAGCCGTTGCTCAGTTCTGAGCCGCCTGACAGGATGCTGGGCCTCGTATGAAACGAACATCAAAAGATGAACTGATGCGGTCATTCATCCACACCCTTTATCACTAGTGAATGGCTGTATTCTAAGTGGTTGACTCAGTGGACTAAAATATTTCAAGCAAAATTAGATCCAAGATGGCCACACATAGTTTAGTTGCATCTGTGTTTTAATACACAAACCTGTAGCTTTCAAACTAACGGGTGTAACTGGTTTGATCAAGTGTGTTCTAATGTGGGTTGCATCTAATCCATCAAATGGTTTACGGTAGTTTATAAAATGTAAGTTTCTTCTAATTATTCCAGTACCCATGTCCATTTTCCCAATAGGTCTATGCCATTGCAGTAGAGTCGAGAGATTCGCTTCAGCACATTCGTTACTAATAAGTTCAAGTTCAAGTTCGCTTATTTATATAGAGCTTTTCGCAACAGACATTGTTCCAAAGCAGCTTTACAGTAAACCTTCAAGTTTAACCTCAGAAAAGAAAAAAATAATTGATAAGTGGTGTTTATGTCCCTGATGAGCAAGCCTGGGGCGACTGTGGCAAGGAAAAACTCGCTTTTTGGAAGAAACCTTGAGAGGAACCGGACTCAAAAGGGGAACCCATCCTCATTTGGGCGACAACAGCAGTGTGATTTATATAAACTATGGTATAAACAGATGATATGGTAGTATAAACAGATGATGACTGTGTTAGGTGTAGGTCCAGGGGGCGCCGGAACATCTCCAGGTGGATCTGGTTGTTAGGGTGAGGAGCTGGTGGGCGGAGCAGTAATAATAAGCAATTAGCAAATTAATGTAATGTAAAGTATTTCAATGTGCTTTTCATCATCTATTGGTAGGTTATGTGAATAAAAACACTATTTAATTGAGTCAACTACATTGGCTTATTACCTGCAATGTTCGAGGATAAGCTCAGATTTACTTGTTGGTGTCGTGGTAAAGAAAGTTGTTTATTTGTTGACATTCAAATTTAATTATAAAACATTTACAAGCAAATTGGCCACTAACTGAATTTTTGTACATAATTCAACTGGGAGGAGCGTGTATGGGATGGACTAGAGGGAGTCTCCAGTTAAATGTTGTAGATGAACCTTTTCCATTAGGGACTGAATTTATTCAGTGTGTTCAATCTGCCGTTAACAGAGTGAGAAGCCATCAATATAATGAAAAAAAACTCCATCTCAAACCATCCTGACAGAAATACAAAACACCTCTATACCAATATTGACATTCCGAGAAACCATGGATAAATTGGAGTTTTGATGTTCTCAGAATGTCTTAATGTTCCCTCACACATATTCTGTTTGTAAGACCTTTAGGAGACCACAATAGAATGTCATTTTTTACATTTTTGGTACAGAAAACTCTACCCACTTCTTGCACATCGAGCATAAATGTGTTTTGGACAATTAAAATCACATACATGTAAAATATGATTCAGTGTGATCCTGCACAGAAAGACACTGGGACAGAGATTAAATATAAAGCTCTCAATCGATCAATCAATATAAAAATGATAAATACATAGATTTGAAGTAATGATAGCGTGCGTGTTTGTGTGTTTGCATATTCACTTGCATATTCCTGTGGCGCAGTTGGTAGAGCATTGCGCTAACAACGCAAAGGTTGTGGGTTCAAATCCCAGGGAAAGCAAGAACTGACAGAAAAAAATATGTTCATTCAAATGTAAGTCGCTTTGGATAAAAGCGTCTGCCAAATGCATAAATGTAAATGTTCACTTATGAGCAGTTGTCTCTTCCCTAGGAATCAAACTCACAACCTTACTAACAAGGTCACATAAATATAAAACATATATTAAAAAAGACAAAACTAAAAGTGTTTTACTCATAAACAATGCATTTTATTCAGCATTCATTTAAATTCATCTACATATAATGCAAATGGCATAATCTACATCATCGATGCAAATTAATTAGCAGAACACAAACAAAAAAGCAAATAAACAACTGTGCCTGCATTTCCAAAGTGAATATGCTACCATTATAAACACATTTAAAATGGAATACAAAATAAAAAGCTAATCGAAAGCAAAAAGAGCGTTTACCCTTTTACACGGTAACTATACCAAAATACAGGAGTACATTTTTTTAACAAGCAAAGATAATACCTATATTAAAACAAAACATACATCATAAAATGAATCTTATAAAAATGTAATGAAGTCATAGCACCAAATGATAGCACCACAAAATAGCCACCAATAATTGCATTGAGGTCAATAAGTATTTGATCACTCTGTGCAAGTTCTCCTGCTTGGAAATCATAGAGGAGTCTAGAATTATCTCCCAGTTTCTCAAAGACCAGATGGTTTGCTTTTAAATAGTCCAACTAATCTCTGTTAGTTTAGTAGCAGCTGTTTGTGGCTGTTAGTCTTAAGCAACATGGGCAAAACCAAAGAGACTAATTTGTAGACCATCAAGCAGCTTGGTGGAAAACTGTTGGAGCAATTTTCAGCAAATGAAAGAGAGGCTAATGTTGACTCTCAGTGTCTCACATACTGCGAAGATCTCTCCTTGTGGGGCATTGATGCTAAGAATGGTGACGAATCCCCCCAGAACTACACAGGATGAGCTGCCATGAAGAGATCTTGGACCAGTGTTTCCAAGGTTACCATCACTAATACACTAGGAAGGTTCCTGCTTAAGTCAGCTCATGTCCAGGCCAGTCTAAAGTTTACCAGAGACCACTTAGATGATCCAGAGGAGTCATGGGGGGGAAAAGTTGTGGTAAAATGAGAACGTTTTGCTGATAACTCTATTTGCCGTGTTTGGAGGATGAAGAATGATGACCATCATATCAATACCATACCTACAGTGAAGCATGGGCTGGAGGCATAATGCTCTGGGGTATTACCATGCACTGTGATATTTTGAAAAACCTTTTCTCAATCAGAACATTAGAGATGAGAATAATCCAGAACACACAACCAAGAAAAACAGTGACTTTCTAACAAGCATATCCAGGTTCTCCAGTCTCCAGACCTAAATCCAAAAGAAAAGGGAGGGAGCTGAAACTCCATGTTGCTCAACGACAGCCCTGAAACCTGACAGATCTGGAGAACACCTGTATGGAGAAGTGGACGAAAATCCCTCCTGCATTGTGTGCAAACCTGGTGAAGAACTACGGGAATGTTTGACCTCTCTAATTGTTAAAAAAAAGGTTTCTGTACCAACTATTAAAATGTTTTGACTTCCAGATTTTTATATTTCTGTCTCTCACAGTGGAAATGTACCTATACTAACTCCTCCATGATTTCTAAGTAGATTAGCAACAGTAGCACCAACTGCCAGAGGGGGGCACCATTGCTTCGTTTGCTCACAAGAAAAAAAAATGTTAATAATAACGAAACGGTCAATAAAATGTTAACAGTTATTAACAATATATTAATGTGAATATATCTGTGTGTATGTTATATTTTAAAAATTATTTTAAAAACCCTAAAGTTTTAGAAATTAATTCACTGCACGCAACGTGAGGTTTGCTACGTCCCTTGGCGTTGGCCCCACCCCCCACAACTCACCTAATGTTTTGAGATTACATGGATAGAGAGATCAAAATTGAAAAGTCATTAGCAATGCCGAGAAACGGAAAAGAAAAAATGGCCACGATGAAATTCACATTGCTTTCACTCCATTTGGTTGGTTGTTTATATTAATAACACTCTATTACTAAAAATATGATAACGAAACCCACAAATTTAGCTTTAGTGTAGGTGTCACCTTGTTTAATGTGTAACCATGGCAACTGTGGCATCACGCTGGCGCCGGCGTGTTCCCTCTTAAACTAACCGTCGGTTTACAGTTTTACTACAAATAGTTATTTAATTACTTGGCTAACCAGCGCAATCAACACCGTTTAAAAATGACATTATCTGCATTAAAACCAAAACCAAACCAAAAAGTTTCATTTACAATAATGAACGAATAAAATGAAACACTCTTTCATTCATTTTCCAACCCACCTATTCCATTTTTAGGGTCACAGGTACACCCTGGACAGGTCGCCAGTCCATCACAGGGCATAAAATGAAACAATAAACAGAACATCCATGTTTAACGTTGACTCGCGTTTCTTGCAAATACCCGCCTCCCTATAATTTCTGTTCCCCCAGATGAATGTTTTCTTCGGTATCAATACCTGGCATTGTAGCATATTACCGATTAGGGGGCCAATTTGGCCAGCACCAGGTATGGTTATCAATGACTTATTGACCTCACTGTATATGTTAAAAACCTTTTACCCAATGCTCCAAACAGCATAATAAATTTATATAGAGTTTGTTTGAATTCAAGGTGGGTGAGAAAGACCCGAATGGCCTACTTCTTCCTTGGATCCTATGAGACGACTGGAAAGTTGGTCATGCTATACTGACAATATGGCGACAACATACACCCAACGTAAGTCATACCTATGTTTACTGAAGTTTAGATTTTTAAAAAAAATTTCCAATGTGGCAGTAGAGCCATAGAAAGGTACATTACTGAAAAAAAATTCCCATTCCAAAAATGACTGCGTGCACCTACAGGATGTCCCACGCTCAAACAAATCTCTTTCAGTTCCTGGAGTCATATACAACAACACTGAGGCCTCTTTCTGAAAGCTTACATGATGACACCTGCAAAGGATTAAAATGACAGCCACATGCACGGGTGAAGACCAGACCATTCTCAACTTTAGATTCTAAACAATGCAAAAAGTCTGAGAGTTCACACAAACACTTCTCTATTCGACAAGTGATGGTGAAACTGACGGATGTCTTCTGGACCGAGTATGTTCCCTCATTCTGAATCAATCTGCAGTTGTTGAGCTCCTCTGATGGAATGCTTAGCACAGGCGGTTCGGCATGCAAGAGGATGGGATGTTGAAGGAGAAGAAAATATAAGCAAGCGAGATGCTAGAACAGTCTGCTAGAGAGAGAGAGGAGGTCAGTGACCTTGGCAGGTTTTGCAGCACATCTGTCTGAAGTATGTACGGCCACAAAATTTGAACCTGAGCACCAGGGGGCAGTATGCCACTGTGTTCACATCTTTACACTCTGCAGGATAGAAAAAGTGACGTTAGTAACATGGAAATAGGGTACATTGTACAAAAAAAAAGTTTATCAAACACGTTTCTTCCCTCCTTTGCCATTGGTTTAGGGACTTTGAACAATTAGGTAGAATATTATAAAAACTAACCACAGATCTTCTTAATGATGTTGAGATCAGGGTTCTGTGGTGCTCAACCCATCCAAGTGGTGCTCGCTGCAGAGCCAAATGGGAGGAGCTAGAGCTCTAGCTCCCCCTCGCTGGAGCTCCAGCTCCCCCTCGCTGGATCTACTGGGCGGGGCTTGACGCGCTATCAAGCGCCACCAAGTGGCTGTTAATGTTAGTGCGAGTTCAACCGTAATGGAAGTAAATGCTTGTGTTGATGCGCAAGATGCTGGCATAGATAATATTTTTGTCTATTATTGGTAATGATTATGATTGATGATTTTAAGCATAGTCAGTATCGTTTCTGTGAAATAACGTAAATACTTTTTTAATAATGCTTTATTGTCATACAATGTGTACAATTCCATGTCCCTCTGTGAATACTTATGTAAATATTTGATAAGTAGGCAATGTGAAAGCTTACCTGTGCATACTGCTTTAATTTTTGTCCACCACATTAATCTGTGGGTTATTTGTGAACTAATCTGAATAATCTGATTAATTAATGTAATAGATGATAATAATAATCATAATAAAAATAACGTTTGACTAATTTATGTAATCTGCCCATTTTTGTATGTAAATGTGAATGTATGATTTCCAAGAGGCTGGTTGTATTTTTTTTTTATATTATTATATTGTAAATTTAAATGTATTATTGGCTGTAATTTTAAATAGACTCAACCTTCATGTAAGATTTAGATTTTATATACATCTCAAAGTTCCGTTTATCTTTAAAGTACAGTTCAGATGTCTTACCGTGCCATACAGGTTGTACAGTTCGAACGGACTACCTGCGTCTGGACCTATGACGTATTAAGCCCCGCCCACAAGATCCAGCGAGGGGGAGCTGGAGCTCCAGCGAGGGGGAGCTAGAGCTCTAGCTCCTCCCATTTGGCTCTGCAGCGAGCACCTTCTCAACCCATCACTTCCAGTACTTCTCATTCTTCTCCAATCAAAAGAGGGGTGTACGTGAGTCATGCTGCTTCAGTTAGTTCTGAGCTGATGGCACTGCTGATCATCTTCCCATTTCTGAGAGTAACTGATGCCTTTTTCATCTGCGGCAGTTTCTTTGGCAAGAATCTAAGAATCTCAAAGTTGCCTGTTTTTTGTGATTCTTCAAAAGAGCTGAACATCACATCTTGAAACCCCAGTCTGCAGAATAACTATATTGGGTCTCAAATATTGCAGCATTTCTCTAAACTTCACCTTGATAACAGAGTTTGGCTGTTCCTCGCTCAGTTTTAAACCTCCTGCAACAGCTGTTTCTGTTTCAGTTCATGACTGGGTTTCAACCTGGGTGTGACATTAAACATTAGCACCTGTTTGGTTATATTTGATGGCTCATACAGCTCACTACAATCCTAGAAAATCAGTGAATGTGTGTATGTTTAGAATTGAGGCAAAGGTTAGTAACACCAGAAACTGAATTGATTT